AAACCCCTAAACCCCTCAACCCCTCAACCCCCAACACCCTAAACCCCTCAACCCCTAAACCCTAAACCCCTCAACCCCTAAACTCCTACAACCCTGAACCTTAGTTAAACCCTCAACCCTCAACCCTCAACCCTAAACCCTAAACCCTAAACCCCTGCAACCCTAAACCCTAAACCCTAAACCCTACAGTCCAGGAGACCCGGGCCTCCCGGCTTTCCCACCAGACGCTTCTCAAAGAGCTGACTTCCGATCTCGGCTCGGGGTTTCGGGGGTTTAGGGTTTAGGGTTTAGGGTTTAGGGTTTAGGGTTTAGGGTTTAGGGTTTAGGGTTTAGGGCTTAGGGCTTAGGGTTTAGGGTTTAGGGTTTAGGGTTCGGCCTCTTAGGGCTTTAGGGTCAATAAGGTCTGGGTTGACCGTATGTCATGACCCAATGTGAGCATTCTCTGCATTTTGGCTCCAACACCAAATTCTGCCGGCTTACCTTTCTGTATACAGGCAACTGCAAGCAGCGAAATTCGTGCACTCGAACCCTAACCCTAAACCCTAAACCCTAAACCCCAAACCCTAAACCCTGAAAAACAGCTCTGTCAAAGTGCATCACTTTAGATACATCCCAATGTCTTCCAGAGGTTCACCAACACGCACATGTTCCTCCAACGCCTCAGATTCTGGTCACGAAAACGGCCCGAAACGTGCAAATGTCCGCCACCTTCAACGAGAACTGGGGTCACCAAAACCCTTCAACCCTACACTCGGAACCCAAAAACCCTAAACCCCATAAAACCCTAAACCGTAAACCCTCAACCCTAAACCCTAAACCCTAAACCCTAAACCCTGCAAACTACCCTCAACCCAAGCTAGACCTGAAAGATACTACATCGAGGTTGAGCTCGCGGCACGGGCTGCGGCCTCCGGAGCAGAGTGCGAACGGCGAAAGCAACAAACCCTAGTTGGAGGTTCACAGTTACTTATAGCCACAATTAGGGTTTAGGGTTGGGTTTAGGGGTTAGGGTTTAACGCTAATGCCACTCTAACCTAGCCTGCAAATCGTTACTAAGCGGTTTTTTGTGGCAGGCGCCGTACTTTCGTGGTCTGGGGTTATGAACTGATAGTTGCGCGTGGTCTTACATTTTTGAGGATTTGTTGGTTTTTTCCTCGCGAGTTTTCGAGGGTACATTGCGTGGGAAAGACGGACATTCATGAAATACCACACCTGACAGATTAAACACAAGCTGCTGGGGACAAGTGCATCATTGGAGGGTACCGAATCTACTGCGCAGGGCAACAAAAGTGAGTACGTCAGTGCTGAATACGATGTGCAGGCTAGGTTAGAGTGGCATTAGCGTTAAACCCTAAACCCTAAACCCTAAACCCTAAACCCTAAACCCGGTGCGATTGTTTCCGGCTTCAGTCGGCTGGTCGCAACCACGTCCGGATGCAGTCCTGCTAAAAAAATGGCTTGTGGGGCGAAGCCGCTGCATAGAGTAATGTAGGGGCCTCAACGATTAGAATAATTAGGGTTTGGGGGGGTTATTCTGGTATAAGGTATACAGGGATCATAAAGGAGTACCATTAGTAAGTATTCCGACCCCTATATTACACTCTGTAGATGCAGAGAGCATTCAGTACTGAGTGCAGCCCCTTTCCACGCAAAAGCAAGGCCACGAAGAGCATGTCCACATCGGCCCTTGCAGGGCCGCAAGGAGCCCTTCCATGGCACGCGGCGAAGCTTGTTCTTCACGCCGCCGATGCGACTCTCAGCAAGGTTGTCACCTTGCACTTTGGGCAAACCTTGCGCTTTTAGATGCCTTCACAGACCAGGTCTCACCCGGACTGCTGAGCGGAGGCTTTGCCTGATAGCATACGTACATCCTCAGCAAGACTGTTCTTCGAGATCTTTCTCAAAGGCGGTTTAGGGTTTAGGGTTAAGGGTTTAGGGTTTAGGGTTTAGGGTTTAGGGTTTAGGATTTAGTGGACGTTCTCATCCTGCGGGCATGGATGCTCTCGTCACTCGCACGCGCTGGTAGCAAAAATGTTGCAAAGGGGCACTTGACGTGCAGCGAGCCAAATCAAGGGGTCAGGGCTTAGGGTTCTAGAGTTCTGGGTTTAGGGCTTCTAGGGTTCTAGGGCTTTCGGGTTGCAACGCTTTTGGGCTATAGGGTTCTAGGGGTTTAGGGCTTTGGGCGTAGGGCGTTCAAGTTGTAGGTTTAGGGGGCTTATAGGGCTTCAGGGCTCAAAGCTCCCTCAAAGCCTAAATCCCCAGAACCGAAAAAGCCCTAAGCCATAGGCCGGTTTAGGGTTTTGGGGTTTAAGGTTTAGGGCTAGGGTTTAGGGCTACCCCCCAAAACCAAGAACCCTCAGACCCCAGTCTTGCGTTGAGATGACCCTCACTCCATTGAAAAAAGCATTACATTTAGATAGAAATGATTATGATGGAGCAGAAAGTGCATCATTAAATTTAAAACAACTATTTAAAAAATTTGGTGAAGTTGAGCCCTTAAGCCACCCAGAGCTTTGGGCTTGCGATTTAGGGGGGTTTTAAGTGTAGGGGTGTACGGCCTCTACGGCCTTAGGGTTGCGATCTCGGGGTTCAGGGGCCTTTTCTGTAGGTGTAGATGCGGAAATCAGTGCGGTCCTTGCTGGTCTGAAGCCGATAACATGATCTTGGAGGCCTGCGAGCATCTGCTACACCCCCTAGCCACTAAGCTGAAGTCCTTTGACAGCCCAGCAGGCCTTGCTCGCTGCAAGTAGTATGACCTGGTTAGGCACATAGAGCGATGTAGGGTTTAGGGGAATCAGGCACAGTTGGCCAGGAGCTCTTGTAAGACTTACCACCCTTGAGCCCCAACCCCGAAAATCCAAATTACTAGGGTTTAGGGTTTAGGGCTTAGGGTTTCGGGTTGAGGGTTTAGAAACTCACTGGGACACGCTCAAGATGATTCCACTTCCGATAAAACAAGGCAACCGAATTGCACAAGCAACAAATATTAAATAAACAAGGTACTTTGATACGGACACGATGCGCATGACAGATGCAAGGGACTCGGGTCCTGCCCTTTTGGGCTTGAAGCAAAGGATTAGCAGATGCAACTGCGCTGGACAAGCCGAGCAGTAAATGCTAGAGTGACATCCTCCCGCTAGCACTATGTGGAAAATTCTCTAAATTAGGGTCCCTTTTCATTCCCTTATGTAGTACGGTACCCTTAAGATCAGGACCCCAATAAGGGAGCCAAATTGGGGGAACTGCCCATGTCCCAAAGCAGGTACGTAACCGTTTCTTCCCAACGACACAAAGTTTCATCGGCAGAGGCTGAAAGGACGCTCTACCCCGCAGGTGTGTACCGTGTAGCATCCCTACTTGAAGGTTCGATAAGTAGGCTTAGAAATGCTCTCCTAGCTATCCTACTGATAAGCGTGAACCCTAAACCTAGCTGAGCCCTACTTCTGACTGGGATGGCCCTTCAAGCCCTCTGAAAAATGATCCTGAACATGATCCTCTTGCAGTAAACCCTAAACCCTAAACCCTAAACCCTAAACCCTAAACCCTAAACCCTAAACCCTAAACTCCAGAAAGTTGGAACACGGTTTAGGGAGGATTAGAGCCGGAGAATCCCTTTAGTCTACCTTTCGGAGTATGGGGGATAAGGACGTTCCAACTTCTTGTAGTTTAGGGTTTAGGGTTTAGGGTTTAGGGTTTAGGGTTTAGGGTTTAGGGTTTAGGGTTTAGGGTTTAGGGTTTAGGGTTTAGGGTTTACTGTAAACCCAAAAGAAGGGAACATACTCCCCAGGGCCTCCCAGATGACTGCTGTACTAGAGGGCCTTAATAATTAGAATAGGGTCTTGCGGGGTTGATTAGAATTAGTATCCCTACAAAGGGACCCTAAGGGAATACTATTCGTAGTTCTTCCGACCCCTATAGTAAACCCTAAACTTGGCCTTAAACCCTAAACCCGAAACCCTAATGTAGCACCCATGAGCCTCCAAGCAAGGACCTTCCACACCAAACGACTTGGCTGCCCCACCCCCGAGGTGGCGTGGTCCAGCTGATTGCAGAAGCGGACCTCGGGCTCAAGGGTTTAGGGTTTAGGGTTTAGGGTTTAGGGTTTAGGGTTTAGGGTTTAGGGTTTAGGGTTTAGGGTTTAGGGTTTAGGGTTTAGGGTTTAGGGTTTAGGGTTTAGGGTTTAGGTTTAGGGTTTAGGGTTTAGGGTTTTGGGTTTAGGGGTTTAGGGTTTAGGGTTTAGGGTTTAGGGTTTAGGGTGTTTAGAGGGTTTCAGGGTTGAGGGTTTAGGGTTCAGGGCGGGGGCTTCCGAAGTTAGGGGTGCCTTCTTAAGGGTCCTTAGCCTACGGGAATCCTGCTCTTCGGGGTCTATATTAGGGGTCCCTTATTTTCGTAAAGCCCCATTTGAGTTTAGGGGTTCGGGTTTCGGGTCTAGCGTTTAGGGGGCCCTGCAACAGGTAGATGCCCTTAGGTTGTATAGGGCTATGTTGGGATGGCTATTTTGGGATTAGGGCCCTTAAAACTTTGACACTGGTTCTGCATGAACCGCAGTGAACTCCAACACTCCCTGATCCATGAAAGAAAGAGGAGAAGCAACCCCATAAACAACTAGGTATAAGGGTAGAGGGTTTTGGGCAAACCCTACAAACCCCGAGGGTGAGAGAGCGAGAGAGAGCTGAGAGAGAGAGCGAGAAAGAGAGAGAGAGAGAGAGCGAGAGTGAGAGCGAGAGAGTGAGAGCGAGAGTGAGAGTGAGAGTGAGAGTGAGAGTCAGAGTGAGAGTGAGAGTGAGAGTGTGAGTGTGAGTGAGAGTGAGAGTGAGAGGGAGGGAGACAGGGAGGCAGGAGGGAGGGTGGGAGGGAGGGAGCGAGAGCGAGAGAGAGAGTCGGCTCCGCTTGCGCTTGGCCGCACCTTCTCGCCCGGGAACTTCCTGAGGAACCAGTCGGCCACCTGCGCCACGCGTCCGACGCAGACTGGGCTTTGGAACCTCCGTGTCTACCGTAGAAGGCCCACCCAAATTTGGGTTCAACTCCTACTTGGAGGTTCAGGGCACTTATTACCCTAATTATAACTGTACCTGCAAGCCCCTAAGTCCCCTAAGTGGGTGATAAGTAGACTCCCAAGTAAAGGGTTCCGGGTTTGGGGGTTCGAATGTGGTTCAACGCAGATCTGGGAGGCCAGCATCTGTGCCAGTGACCACATACCAGAAGCATCAGGGAATGAGCGGCAAGGCTACACATGATGCTCTGCAGATCAACAGCGCTTGCAGAATCTGCGGCCGAAGGGTTACCGGATACTTGGTTTAGGGTTTAGGGTTTAGGGTTTAGGGTTTAGGGTTTAGGGTTTAGGGTTTAGGGTTTAGGGTTTAGGGTTTAGGGTTTAGGGTTTAGGGTTTAGGGTTTGCCCATGCTCAAAATGTGCTGGCTGGTGAGCTGAGCCAACGAGCTCTACCCGAAGGTTTCCGGGCTTAGGGCATTTTAGGGCATTTTAGGGCTGTGCAAGCCAGGAGAAGGCGAAGATCAGACCCCCCCCTGCCTTTCTCGCAGCCCCTAAAGCCCTACACCTCAAACCATCACCCTAAACCGTATACACCGCCCTACCCTGAACCCCAAGCTTCAAAGAATTCGGCAGCTAAAAAAAGCAAGAGCGCGAGCACTCCGAGGTGAGAACTGTGACTTCCTGGGCCCAGTGCCGCTCTTCCCCCTGCGAGGATCCAGCACACCGAAAGGTGGAGGAGGCCGGGGAGGGGGGGGAGGGGGAGGGAAGAGTCAAACCCGGGCCCGTTTTGTTTTAGGAGGTCCTGTCAAGGGGTTCTCTCCCACGTAGTGCCAGGAGGCCTTACCGTGGAAGAACACCCTAAACCCTAAACCCTCGACCCGAAACCGACGATTGGCACGTCTAGGACCTAGGAGCCATGATCCCCTCAGCTCTGCATCGTCGAGTGTCGGCGTTAGGGTTGAAGGCTTAGGGCTTAGGGTTCCAAAAACCCCCTCCGAGATGACCCCGGAGCATCCTAGGGCCGATTCTCTACATGTAACTTGCAGGTCTTAGCGGCTCAAGGCTTTGTAGGCCTTAGGGTTTCGGGTTACTGAGCAAGGGTACCAGGCAGCTCGGCAATCAGGGTTTTAGGATTTAGGGCCTTGGAAGTTTCAAGAGGTCCCTCAACCCGAGTTTGCTTTAGGATCTAGGAGGGATCCAGTAGGGCTTCTTCGGCAATGCTGTATCTTGGACACCATCGACCTCCCTGGGCTTGCGGTTGTGGGAATTGGGGGGGGGGGGGGGGTCGGGGCTAAGGGGTATAAGGAGGCACACCTAGAAGGAACCCCTAATTCATCCTTTTCTGCCTTATATCGTCCCCTATGTACCTGAGTAGGCCCGACATACCTGAGGAGCCCTTAAAAGAAGCCCCCCAAAAGAACCCTTAAGGTCCTTGGGAACGTCGATGCGCATGTCGAAGGGCTTGTTCACGGCCTCAGAGGCCAGCCGGAGGCTTCCGGAACTGGGTGAGAGACTTGGCGGTTTCCGATATTGGATATTGGGGGGGTGCCTTGTTGAAATCCTTACCGTGAGGGAATCCTACCCTTTGGGGTCAATCTTAGGGGTCCCCTCTCTGTGGGGGTTTACGAGAATAAGGGGTCCCTGGTATAGTTCTCCAGACAGTAGGATAGCCACTCACCGAAGCCGTGAGGTGGTTTATGCCTTGCAAGTAGGGTTTAGGGTTTAGGGTTTAGGGTTTAGGGTTTAGGGTTTAGGGTTTAGGGTTTAGGGTTTAGGGTTTAGGGTTTAGGGTTTAGGGTTTAGGGTTTAGGGTTTAGGGTTTAGGGTTTAGGGTTTAGGGTTTTAGTGTTTAGGGTTTAGGGTTTAGGGTTTAGGGTTTAGGGTTTAGGGTTTAGGGTTTAGGGTTTAGGGTTTAGGGTTTAGGGTTTAGGGTTTAGGGCTGCAAGCCCTAAACCCTTACGCCCTTCGAACCCTAAATCCTCAAGACCTCCGATTTCGATCTTGGAAGGCCCTCAACCCTGCAGGACCAGATTTCAGCCAAACCCTAAACCCTAAGCCCTGTACCCTAAACCCTAAACCCTAAACCCCTCTCAAAGGCCCTGGGCACTGCCCGCCTTCCCAGGCCCCAGACCACCAAGCCATCCTGCTGCCAGAGGCGCCGGAGGTCGTAGCAACCAATGCTGCAGGCCAGGGTAGAGGAGTTCGTGGCTTTGGGGTTTATAGGGTTCCAAAGGCCTTAACCCTAAACCCTAAACCCTAAACCCTCAACCCTAAACTCCTGGGGTTCGGGGTTTCGGGCTTTCAGGCTTGGGAGCAGTGAGGGCGACTTCTAACTTACTTGGTAGCCCAGTAACCATATTACAATAAGGGCACCCTTTTTTGAGTTGGTTTCTTTAGAAGGGAAGCCAGAACCAATAATAAAAATAAATAAAGGGTACCACTGGGCGACCCAGCTTAGGATTGGCTTATGGCTCTATTCAGGTGCTCCGGGGGGGCGGCTCAGAGCTTCCAAGGTTTGGGCTTTTGGTTTACCCGAAACCCTATACCCTCATACCTAGCTGTTTATAGGGTTTATCCGAAACCCTAAACCCTAATACCTAGCTGTTTATAGGGTTGTGGTTGCTTGTCCTCTTTCTTTCATGGATCAGTGAGTGTTGGAGTTAACTGCAGGTCATGCGGAATCAGTGTCAAAGTTTTAAGGGCCCTCATCGCAAAATAGCCATCCCAAAATGGCCCTATACAACCTAAGGGCATCTACCTGTTGCAGAGCCTCCCTAAACCCTAGACCCGAAACCCCGAACCCCTAAACTCAAATTGGGCTTTACGAAAAGAAGGGAGCCCTAATATAGACCCCAAATTGTAGGGTCCGCCCCCTTCGTTTGCCCACCATACATGGACAAGGGGGCGGCCCGTATTGTTATTTACTGTATTTTCGTGTGGTGGCAACACGAGGAAGGGGTCACGGAGTTGTAGAGTTACACATGACAAACACCACTGGCAGCGATGTTTCGCGTTACGTGGATCGGCATTTTTTCCTAGACCCCAAGCCAGCTATCGTCCTCCCAAGCCTTCTTTGGCGGCAAGGTGTCTTGGATTGCTTTGCGGTAGGAAGCAACGGCGGAAACAACATGCGAAAGACCGATGTGGTCCAAGTGAGCACGTCTGGTAGAGGACCTGCCCAGCATGTTCGTGCGGCGCAACTGGCGCTTCACAGAGTTGACGCGCGACTCCGCGCGCTGGCCCCCCCCAGGCGAGCCTAAAGTCTTTGATGCCCTTGACCCCAGATCCTCAACATGCCCCAGTTTCTTCAACCCCAAAACGCCCAAAACCCAAAACCCTAAACCCTAAACCCCCTGACCCCGAAACCCCTATGAACCCTGCATGCCCTCAACCCTAAACCCCCCCCTACTTCATGGGTACTGATAGCCCCAATGGAAAAGTCTGCTTATGGCGGGACTTAGGGGGCTGATAAGTACAGCTAGTTGGGGTTCTAAGTACCCATGAGCCTCCAGCCCTAAACCCTAAACCCTAGCCCTAAACCCTAAACCCCAAACCCTATAGTTTGGGGTTCCAAGTACCCATGAACCCACCTCCGTGGCTGGTCCGTCAGCAGGTGGAGGCACTCGGCAGGGCTCATGGAGCCCGCTCCTAAGGGGTTTAGGGTTCAGGGTTCAGGGTTCAGGGTTTAGGGTTCAGGGTTCAGGGTTTTGGGTTCAGGGTTTAGGGTTTTGGGTTCAGGGTTTAGGGTTTAGGGTTTAGGGTTTAGGGTTTAGGGTTCAGGGTTCAGGGTTTTGGGTTCAGGGTTTAGGGTTTAGGGTTCAGGGTTCAGGGTTCAGGGTTCAGGGTTCAGGGTTTAGGGTTTAAGGTTTAGGGTTAGGGTTTAGGGTTTAGGGTTTAGGGTTTAGGGTTTAGGGTTTAGGGTTTAGGGTTTAGGGTTTAGGGTTTAGGGTTTAGGGTTTAGGGGTGGGGGGGTTTAGGGTTTAGGGTGTTTTAGGGTTTAGGGTTTAGGGTTTAGGGTTTAGGGGGTTTAGGGTTTAGTGCCGAGGGTTTGGGAAGCGGGGGGTTTGGGGTTTGGGGTGTGGGTTGCGGGGTTTCGGGGGTTTGGGGGTTTCGGGGTTTCGGGGTTTGGGGGTTTGGGGGGTTGGGGTTTGGGGGGGTTTGGGGGTTTGGGGGGTTTGGGTTGGGGGTTTGGGGGGGTTTTGGGGGTTTGGGGGTTTGGGTTTGGGGGTTGGGGTTTGGGTTTGGGGGTTTGGGGGTTGGGGGGTTTCGGGGGGTTTCGGGGTTTGGGGGGTTTTTGGGGGGTTTGGGGGGTTTGGGGGGTTTGGGGGTTTGGGGGTTTGGGGGGTTGGGGGTTTGGGGGTTTGGGGGTTTGGGGGGTTGGGGGTTTGGGGGCTTGGGGGTTTGGGGGTTTGGTGGTTTGGGGGGGGGGATTTAGAGCGGCTTAGGGGGTTTACAGGGGCGTTAGGGAGTTTCAGGGCTTTAGGGGTCTTAGGGTATTGGTGGTTTAGAGTCTAGAGGTTTAGAGAAACCAGATTACCTGAACGCGACATCCCCGGCCCACGAACCCTGCCCTAAACCCCAAACCCCAAACCTTAAACCCTAAACCCTTAGCCCTAAACCGTCCCCCAAACAACAAGGGAACCGTCCAACCCCTAAACCCTAAACCCTAAACCAAGGCCCCGTCCGACGAGGAAGGCCAGCTGTGCCAGGCGGGGCGCGACGTCGGCCTCTCTAGAGCTTCAAGGGGTTCAGGGTTTGGGGTTTAGGGTTTAGGGTTTAGGGTATAGAATTTAGGGAGTAGGGTTTGGCGTTTAGGGTTTGGGATTCGTGTATTTTGAGCTTCAAGAGGTTTCGGGATTAGAGGTTTCAGGGCATTGGGTTTGAGCATTCAGGCTTGGAGGTTTCAAGTGTAGGGAGGGGGTGGGGAAAGTTTTGGCGCGAGACCCGGTGGGTCCGGGCTTTACCTAGAAGCCTGCAGAGAACCACAACCGAATTCCAAAACCCTAAACACTAAACCCTAAATTCCAGAAGTCATATCCGGCTCTAAGCAAATTGCCTTCACACCCTACCAATGAATCGGCATCATCTGAACAACTAAGTCAACTAAGCCCTAAAAGCGTTTTCGAAACTCTCTCTGCAGCTTTTTTGATGCCTCGAGCAGATCTTCCTGACCGCAGGAGGCGCTGGAGATGCCGATGTGACCTCACTGTACAAAGGCCGCCATCCGCCAGCAAAGGCACAGCCTGCGCTGCCCAACTGCACATGGATGTCAGGCTGCCGCGCCACTCAAAACTTCTCAAAGTGACCCTACTTGTAGGTGCACGAGTGGGGTTGACCGATTCTAGCCCTTTCTAACCCCAAACTTGAGTCATGCATCCTCAAGAATAAAACCGGGCAGGCAAGGCCCAAATGGGTTTCGAGTTGAGGTTTAACCCTAAACCTACGCCAAGCCTGAGGCCTTTCTTGGAATCCAAGCTCAGATCGGGAAGACATCGTGCTGGAGAACATCAACCTGCTAGAGGTTTCAGGGGAGTATGTAACCCCTAAATCGTCAACCCTCAACCCTCAACCCTCAGCCCTCAACCCTAAACCCTAAACCCTAAACCCTAAACCCTAAACCCTAAACCCTAAACCCTAAACCCTAAACCCTAAACCCTAAACCCTAAACCCTAAACCCTAAACCCTAAACCCTAAACCCTTCCCTTAAGGACCCCTATCAACCTGTGGTGGCTGGAACGTCAGCTTCGACGTGATGTCGACCATGTCGTCCACCTTCAGCTGCTCCTTCATGAAGTCGAACCTTGCGGGGGACCCAAAGGAAACCCTAAGTCATGGGTTTAGGGTTTAGGGCTTAGGGTTTAGTGTTTAGGGTTTAGGGTTTGGGGTTTGGGGTTTGGGGTTTGGGGTTTGGGGTTTGGGGTTTGGGGTTTCGGGTTTAGGGTTTAGGGTTTAGGGTTAGGGTTTAGGGTTTGGGGTTTAGGGTTTAAGGTTTAGGGTTTAGGGTTTAGGGCTAGGTTCCCCACTTAAAGAACCTTGATTAGGCTTCATGATAATTCTGGGGGGAAGCTAGGGGGGGGCTAGTATTGAGGGGTGTAGTCGAGGAAAATGTGGGTCCAATAGCCTCTACTACTATCATCCCTATGAAGGTTTAGATGAACCTAAACCCTAAACCCTAAACCCTAAATTTTAAAGCTGCGCTAACTGCGCCAGTGAAGTTTGTATCCTTTTTGTTTTGTCCCGAACTCTTTCTCCTGTTTCTCTTCCTTCAGTTTACTTAAACCTATTGTGTATGCATAGTTTCAATTTTCTTAAACCTCACTCAAAGAGGGCATCTTGGAGGAGTGCAAAAAGTAAAATGACGACCCAACAAAAAAGGGAATGAAAAGGGCGGCCACACAAAAAATGCGATAAAAAGGGCGACCAAACAAAAAGTGCATAAAAAAGCGACCAAACGAAAAAAGTGATAAACAAAGTCGACCCAACAAAAAGTGTATAAAAAAAGGCGACGATTGAAAAAGGCTACCAAACAAAAAAGGTGATAAAATAACGCGACCCAACAAACAGGGTTTAAAAAATGCGACCAAACCAAAAAGGGCAATAGGGTTGCACCCTAGGGTCGCCGTTATCAAAAGATGCTTCCTCAAATTCTCTAGGCGCCAACTTCACTGGCGAACCCTAAACCCTAAACCCTAAACCCTAAACCCTAAACCCTAAACCCTAAACCCTAAACCCTAAACCCTAAACCCTAAACCCTAAACCCTTTTCGGTTTCATTTCCTCCCCAAGGAACTTCGTCTCCGCGAGCCGACCCTGGTCGGCACAGGCGCTGTAGAGGGCCTCGAGATCGTCCACGGCCGCTGCGACGTCCTCGGGGGTGGGCACCCCTCCTTTCCTGAGCTCTCTCTTTCTTGCTGTTTAGGGTTTAGGGTTTAGGGTTCAGGGTTTTGGGTTTAAGGTTTAGGATTTAGGGTTTAGGGTTGAGGCGTCCAGTAACATAGGGGAACTAAAGGTAATAACCATTGGGGTTTTATGGAGATTAGAATACCCCCAAAAAGGTTAAAGGCTGCCCACTCTACTACTGAGTTTCACGGCGTTGTAGATCACCACGGTGACCGTCACGTGCTCGGAAGCATTTCGCTTCGGAGACTTGATGGAGAGGCCCCTCCAAACGTCATGCTCCGTGCCGCGCGACACCCGCGCCGCGCTGCTGGTTCCCCTGCGCGCTGCGGGCATGGCCACGCACCTTTCGCGGGAGCACTCCTCCACCATGGTGAAGCCATCCAGGTCACTGTCACAGTCATCCTCCATGCCTTAGTTGCTGAGTTCATAAGCCCCCCAAAAGTGCACACTTTCAGGTCTATTAGGGGATCATGGTATCCCAAAAAGTGTACAGTCTACTCACTCAGCTACGAAGATGCACTCCTCCATGGCGCCGATGCCGATGGCCCCGCAGGCTTCAACAGGTGCGGCTGCGCACTTGCTGGCGCCAAAGAGGGCCAAGGGCATGGCCAGTCCCAGGGCTCTTCGCTTGGGGCGGGCCTGCTGCTGCAGAGGAACCTGGATGGTCATGAGCACGTTGAAGCCTCGGTTGCCCAAAGAGCCTAGCATTAAGAAGGGAAAAACCGAAACCCCCCCCCCGGAAAAGGGAGCAAGAGCGGCGGCTTCGGGTGCAGGGTTTAGGGCTGAGGGCTTGAGGGTTAGGGCTTAGGGTTCAAGGTTTAGGGTTTAGGGTTTCGGGTTTAGGGTTAGGGGTTAAAGGTTTAGGGGGGCACTGCTGGGCATCCAAGAAGCGCTGGCCCATGGCCTTGATGCCAATGACGCTGGACGTGGCCTTGCCACGAGACAAGGCCTCCAGGGACCCCAATACCGTTTAGGGCTTAGGGTTTAGGGCTTAGGGTTTAGGGTATAGGGTATGCGGTTTGGGGTTTAGGGTTTAGGGTCCAGGGTTTGGGGTTTGGGGTTCAGGGCTCAGGGTTCAGCAGCTCCGGATCGGGCAGTGTTATGGCAGTGTTATATTTACGGCTCTGATATAATACCCACCCACCCAGAGAATCCCATAACATTAAGAAAATATAAATTCAGACATCAACGAAGGTTGAAAGAAAGAGTGGGCCCTGAAACCCTAACCCCAGGCCTTGAGGCCCTGAAACCCGAGACTGGGGGGAGGGGGTGGGAGGGAGGGGTGGGAGGGAGGGGGGCGAGGGGGGAGGGGGGGGAGGGGGGGAGGGGGGGGGTAGGAACGAGGCAAAAACGCCCACCAAGTGGGCAAATTTTGCCCACGAACCCAGGCCCACAAGTAGGCAAATTTTGCCCACAAGCAGGCAAAAAGCCCACAAGCAGGCAAAAATGCCCACAAGCAGGCAAAATTTGCCGCCCATGGGGTTTCGGTAAGAGGGGTTTAGGGTTGAGGGTTGAGGGTTTAGGGTTTAGGGTGTAGGGTTTAAGGTTTAAGGTTTAAGGTTTAGGGTTTAGGGTTTAGGGTTTAAGGGTTTAGGGTTTAGGGTTTAGGGTTTAGGGTTTAGGGTTTAGGGTTTAGGGTTTAGGGTTTAGGGTTTAGGGTTTAGGGGTTAGGGTTAGGGTTTGGGTTTAGGGTTTAGGGTTTAGGGTTTAGGGTTTAGGGTTTAGGGTTTAGGGTTTAGGGTTTAGGGTTTAGGGTTTAGGGTTTAGGGTTTAGGGTTTAGGGTTTAGGGTTCCTAGTATGGTTTAAGGAAAATTCCTTCGTTACGGAGTACTGGAGTCTCTGGCCTCGGCGCGCTCCTGCTGAGTCTCCTGCTGCTCGCCGCCCACCTTGTGTCGACTCCTTTGGTAGCCCGGGAACCAGGTTGTAGTAAGGTTTGGGGTTTGGGGTTTGGGGTTTGGGATTTAGGGTTTAGGGTTTAGGGTTTAGGGTTTTGGGTTTTGGGTTAGGGTTTTGGGTCTAGGGTTTTGGGTTTAGGGTAACCATACCACAACAGGGGCTCCCCTTTGCGGGGTCTGGTTTCTTCATATGACGGTACCTTGAATCAAAAAAAGGGCAAAAGGGCAGCACGGGCTACCAAGACGCTCTTCCGCCTCCAGCCAGTAGCGGTGGATCTTGCCCTCGCCATCCACGGCGTGGTGAAAGAGCTTCTTCGCACCCCGTCCATCCTGCTATAAGGGATGGGATTAGGGAGATTTTGGGGGATATAGACCCTCTGAATAAGGTCCCTGTTTAAGAGAGCCAGAAGAGGGTTAAGAACCTTTATCCTACCATCCTGCTGCACAGCCATCCCCTGGCTGGTGCAGAGCAGGACAAGGTTGCGCGGATCGGCGTCATCCATGGTGTTGTAGTTGTAGGCCTCAGTCGCGAACTCCAGCTTGGACCTGCCGTCCCCGGAGTCCTCCACCGGAATGAAGGTGGTCTGGAAGCGGATGGAGCACTGCATGTCCAACTTGGGGTCGGAGAGATCGGTCTGTCCTGCAGGGGTGTAAGGAGGGAAGGGGACCCTTCATCTAATTCCCCTAAATAACCCCTATATATATATATATATATATATATATTTTTGTTTATTTATATATATATATATATTTATTTATTTATTTATTCATTTATGTATTTATATATGTATATTGATATTCATAATTTTTATGTACCCTATATAATATGGTCCCAATATACCCTTTAGTCCCTTGATGTCCGTCGAGGCCCGCGTAGCTGCCATAAGTGCCCATCTGCTGCAGGACGCTCCGGAGGGTCACGGGCTGAGGCGGGCCGCCCGCGTGGGAGGCCACGACCGCCACCTGATTCGCGGGAACCACGCCGAGCTTCTCGTTCCAGTTGTCACTGCGAACGGTGAAGAGCCTCGCGCCACTCTTGCTCTTCAAGTAGGTGTCGGTGATGTTCGCCCCCCAACAAGAGAGGGCGCCGCCGACGGTCCCTCGGCTGACGTCATCCCAGGAGACCACTTGGCAGCTGTAGGTGGCGTAGTGGCCGCCTTTCGATCGGCAGGCCTCGTTGATGGCTTTCATGGTCGCGTCCACTGAGGCCATGACAAGACACAAAGGCTGAAGGCTCGGAGGCTTGGATACTTGGAGTGAAGCCGGGAAGAGCTTGAGCCGCACCCAGTTTCACGCAGAGAGTAGAGCTTATGGTGGTTTCCCTACTTCACCCCTCTACCCTACTACTAAGCCCCAAAGCTAGAACGGCTTCTGCGAAGTCCCCAATCCACTCTGCGTCCGCTCTGCAATGCGAGTCGTCCTCAAGGCGCTGGCAACCAAAGGGGCTGGCTCTCTGGGTCCCATGAACCCCTAAATCCTAAACCCCAAACCCTAAACCCTAAACCCTAAACGCACCCCCTGTGCTTCTTTCTGAAGCAAACCCACCTCAGCACTTTGGTCGCGGAGGCCTGGCCAGACCTGCGTCTCAGAGCGTCGGGTTTGGGAAGTTTGGGGTTTCGGGTTTAGGGTTTCGGGTTTAGGGTTTAGGGTTTAGGGGTTACACCCTAAACCCTAAGCAACCTATATGAACCCCTATTCTCAATCCCCACCCCAAGAAAACAACTAAGCCCCATGACTTTTCCGTCTAGCTTCAGCAATTCTTGGGCTTAAGGCTTAAGCATTTGCAATGAAGCTTCCTGGGAAAATGCAGTTCGGTTGGCCTGATAGCAAATTTCACACCAAGCTGTGCGTAGTCTAGCTGCTGGTTCTGCAACAGGAACTACCCTAAACTGCCAGAGCAGCCTCAGCCAACCTCAACCCGAAAATCTAGGGCTTAGGGGAAGAAGTTCTCATGTCTTCGCAGGTTCGGTCGCCACCACCCTAAAACCCTAAAACCCTAAAACCCTAAAACCCTAAAACCCTAAAACCCTAAAACCCTAAAACCCTAAAACCCTAAAACCCTAAAACCCTAAAACCCTAAAACCCTAAAACCCTAAAACCCTAAACACCCCTAAAACCCTAAAACCCTAAAACCCTAAAAAACCCCAAAACCCTAAAACCCTAAAACCCTAAAACCCTAAAACCTAAAACCTAAACCCCACCCCAACCCCCCCCCCCCCCCCCCACACACACACCCACACGCACAGGGCCTCGCACATGTGCTCGAAGTCCCCGTCGACGGAAAGGGACTCGGCGGCTTCCGTTGAAAGGTCTGGGTTTAGGATTTAGGATTTAGGGCTTAGGATTTAAGGTTTAGGATTTAGGGCTTTGGATTTAGGGTTTAGGATTTAGGGTTTAGGATTTAGGGTTTAGGATTGAGGGTTTAGGATTCAGGGCTTAGGGTTTAGGAGTTCAGGTGCCGAGATCCCTACCGGGTGCCTTACAGCCAGATAACGCCTCAAGGACACCTCAACTCCCGCAAAAACACTCTACGCCAGCAGCCCAACAGCTTGAAACGTTCCCCCTTATACGAACAGTCCTTCATAGGGATTAAAGTACCCCCTCCTATGATCCCTATTAAGGACTGTTAGTATAGGGGGAACATCCCAACCAATAGGCCTTGTTGTGGATGAATTCCTTCACGCGGGGGTATCGTGGGATTGCGCCGTCAGTGTACTCTTGAAGCCCACTGAGTTGTCAACCGGCCGTCGTTCTTTCCCGATGAAAAATGCAGCCTAAACCCACTGAACTCAGGGTTCTACACTTTGAGACGCTTGAGCCCTAAACCCTTAGCCCTAAACTCTTAACCCTAAACCCTAAACCCTAAACCCGAAACCCTAAACCCTAAACCCTATAACAGCGCTGCCTCAAGCCAACTACTTGGAGCTTCAGAGTTGCGCTCCGGGAGCCGGCCCCAGCTTCTCGGTGGTTTGCAGAAGGTTTAGGGTTTAGGGTTTAGGGTTTAGGGTTTAGGGTTTAGGGTTCAGGGTTCAGGGTTCAGGGTTTAGGGTTTTTGCGGAAGGTGTTGATGTTCTTTTTCTTTTGAGGGGGAGGGACGTGGGGGGGGGGGGGTTAGGGTTTTTAGGGCTTATAGGGTTTATAGGGTTTTATAGGGTTTAGGGTCTGGGGTTTAGGGTTTCGGGTTCAGGGGGGTTTAAGGGGTTCAGGGCAACCGGAGTCTGCACACAAATCCCCCGAGACTCGGGCGCCATGGCCTGGGCAAGAGAAAGGAACCAGGGGCGCTTTCTCGGAGCAGACCCATATTCTTATTTAGGGCTTAGGGTTTAGGGTTTAGGGTTTAGGGTTTAGGGTTTAGGGTTTAGGGTTTAGGGTTTAGGGTTTAGGGTTTAGGGTTTAGGGTTTAGGGTTTAGGGTATACCAGGCCCCCCAGTGCCCATCTTTTGGTGGCCTTAAGACTTATGAGCGGCATTCTCTCGTACAATCCCTGTATAGTTCTAGTCAGAACGACCCCAGATGCCCGTTCGAATGCCCGTTCGAACTAGATAAATAGGCCCCTACATTGCACTTCTCTTTCTGGCTCTTAGTGGGGAATGAGGGAATTACGTACAAGTGCCATGTATCATTCCCTTAAAGGGCATATGCAGGGGGGACGTAGCAGACCTAATTGCCTCAACCCAACTGAGAACCAGTAGGATGGACACTCGACCTCGCCGGCTCTACTGGAGGACTCCACTCTGAAGCACCTTGCCTAAAGCTCAAGACCATGCATGCCGAACCATTGAGCTGGGTTAGGGTTTAGGGTTTAGGGTTGAGGGTTTAGGGTTTAGGGCTTTAGGCTTTAGGGTTTAGGGTTTAGGGTTTAGGGCTTAGGGTTTAGGGTTTAGGGTTTAGGGTTTAGGGTTTAGGGTTTAGGGTTTTAGGGTTTAGGGTTTAGGGTTTAGGGTTTAGGGTTTAGGGCTTAGGGCGGCACTCCCTAAACCCTAAACCCTAAACCCCTAAACCCTAAACCCTAAACCGGAGGTTTCTTGGGGTTCAGGGCTTCGGCTTTGAGCTTCGGCTTCGGCTGGCAAGGGGCGCCGAAGAGCCTCCTTCACCAAGGTCTCCACCGCAAGGGCCATGGCCCGGATTCAGGGTTTAGGGCTGAGCTTGCTGTCTGTCTTAGGGTTGAGGGTTTAGGGTTTGGGGTTGGGTTTTGGGGTTTGGGGTTTAGGGTTTAGGGTTTAGGGTTTAGGGTTTAGGGTTTAGGGTTTAGGGTTTGGGGTTTGGGGTTTGGGGTTTGGGGCTTCAGGGTTTAGGGTTTAGGGTTTAGGGTTTAGGGTTTAGGGTTTAGGGTTTAGGGTTTAGGGTTTAGGGTTTAGGGTTTAGGGTTTTGGGCTCACATCCTTCCCATGATCCATACAGCTGGTGTTAGTCTTCTCTTTCGATGCCGTAAGTCTCCAATTTACACGCTCAATTGCATTGTGACTAGCGATTCGCACTAACAGACCTTGTCATCTGGACGACATCAAAATGACAATACTCGTACTGGTATATTGACGTGTATATACACACTAGACAAGACATGTTGCTGAATATGACACATTGAGTCGACACGCCCTAGCAGCAGCGGACGTTAGGGGTTTGGGCTTAGGGGTTAGGGGTTAGGGTCTAGGGGTTTAGGGTTTAGGGTTTAGGGGTCAGGGGTTAGGGGCTAGGGGTTTAGGGTTCGAGCCCCGGAGACTTCCAGATCTGCGGCGTGACTGTGAAACCTGTAAAACCCTTCTAAGCTCGTCAACCTGGGCTGTTCCCATTATACTAACAGCCCTTAATGGACTATGCTACCCCCCGTTATATTCCCCACTACGGACTGTTAGTATAAGGGGGAACGTCCCAATCTTCAACCCCTCAGAAGAACGACCTTCTCTCTGAAGCGACACCCCCAAAACCCAGCGCCCGGCGCCCGGAACTGCAATGAAACCACTCAACAAGTAGACCATCCAAGAGCAACAAACCTTAAACCATAATTGGGTTCAGGGTTGAGGGTTCAGGGTTTAGGGTTTCGGGCTTAGGGCTTAGGGTTAAGACCCCAAAAACCCTCAACCCCAAGCGACGGGGTGGCTGCACCGTGGCGCAAACGAGACGGTGCTGTCGCAGGATGGGCAGCGAAGGGATAGCAGCGCCGAGGCGTTGCCCACGTACTGAGGCAGAGGGCACTTGCAAAACGTAGCTTGGGATGTTCCCCCTTATGCGAAGGGTCCTTGATAGGCATTATAATAGGGGGGACTACAACCCCTATTTGTACAAGGGGGGAACATCCCAAAATGTAGTCCTAAGCCCTAAATCCTAAACCCCAGCCACATGGATGGTGTAGCTCGTAGGGTTTGGGGTTTGGGAAACAGCACAGGGCTTTGGGAATTAGATCTTGTGGGGATTGCGGAGACGTTTCTGGAAGCATCTTCAGATTCTTCCCTAAACCGAAACCCTAAACCCTAAACCCTAAACCCTAAACCCTAAACCCTAAACCCTAAACCCTAAACCCTAAACCCTAAACCCTAAACCCTAAACCCTAACCGCCGTCCTTCTCATAGACCGCTTGGTCCACGAAGGGTGCCCAATCGCACGTGGCGACGCGGCCGCGGCAGAGGGGACACCGTATCTGGGCGTGCACATATGTGTGTTGGGAAGCCCGAAGCCCTAAACCCTAAGCCCTAAACCCTAAACCCTACACTCCAAAGGTCTCACCATCAGGGTTCGCGCAGCTCCATTCCCTCTAAAGCCAAAGAACTCCCAAGAGTCGACACACCCTCACTCGGCATAGGTTCAAGGGCAGGTAGGTTCCAGGAGGTTTTTAGACTTCAGGGTTTTTGGGTTCAGGGTTCAGGGTGTAGAGCTTCGGGTTGAGCTCTAAGGGTTCAAGGTTTAGGGTTCAAGGTATAGCAGGGTTTAGGGTCGAAACCAGAGACACTATGATAAGACGGCCACACCCAAAGGTTTCCTCGAACCACATCCCTGAAATGATAAACAATGAAACTCCAAACCCCAAACCCTGCTTGCAGCTTCATGGGTAGACATATCTGGGGATACATGCGCCGTTGCCAGGGTTGTAGCTGCAACTACCACTACAGGAAGAACCAACCACTGGGTGCTGCTAAGCAGCTTCATTTATGTCACCCGAGTAAGGATACCCTGTTTCGTACTGCACATCACTGTGCGGCATCGTAGTTTAAGTTTCT